TTCGTCGTCGGTTCGCGAAACCCCCGGTGTGGGAGGGGCGATGGGGGCGTCGAAAAGGGGAAACGAATCCAACGACCCCCCCTCTCGGGCGGGATTCCCTACCCGAGGAAGCCGCCTGGGGGTGGCATCGACCTCCATAAACGAGGGCAAACGAATCGGTTGCGTCGCCGCCTCGGCGGATCGTCGGGCCCGCCCCCTTCCCTCCGTCCCGTCCGTTTGGTTTGCGCGGGAGACGAGGCCATCCGACGAGGCCCTCGCGAGAAGGAAAGGGGGGTCGGATTCCGCACAAAATTGCGTCCCGGGCAACGTCCCCTCACCCCAAAGAGAATCCCACAAAAGGGAGGCGGCCTGCGGTGTGGAGGAACCCCGGTTGTCCTCCATGGAGAACGGGTGAGGAGGGGTGCACTGCATGCACGGCATCCTCCACTCCTTCGTTTGGGATGGAAAGTCGCTTGGGAAATTCCACGAATTCCTTGAGGTGAGGGTTTCGTCATCCCGGCACCCCGGCCACTCTTTTTTTTTCGGCTTCACCTCCCCGGGAGATAAAAAACTACCGCCCCTGGTGAAATCCAAAAACAACTCACTCCGGTAACGATGGCGGTTTCCGCCCGACGTGGGAGGCGGGAGGATCTCATCGCATTCTGCCATCAACCGATAATTCGTGTTTGCCTGGGAGGTTTGTGAGGCTGCTCTTTCCGTAAAAGAACTCACAGCAACAGCATTCACGTTCGTATTCAGATCTTGCGCTAATATGTCTTCCGTGGTATGCTTTGCGTCTCGAATAGGACGTGGTTCGCTCCTGGTGTGTCGTAAAAGATCAGACGAAATCCGATTCTGATAAACATTACCGATGCCGTCCTCGACGGAACTGGAATTTTGTTTGGGAACCAGAGAACCGATCGGTGAAGTTGGATTGCTCTCCAATGAGAAACATCTCGTGGGAATTTTGAATTCCACTGACGGATTCAGAAACTCAGATGATAGCACGGTCGGTGACTGTGCTTGACGGAGAGCACCTGGTGCCGTTTCTACTTCATCGCCAGGGCTCATCTCACCTGAGTAGGGAATGTATAGAGGTTTAAAACGGTAGCTTATAGATTCCGATTCCTCTGGAAGTCTATTTTCGCTTTTTCCGTTGTTTCGTTTTTTTATGAACATTCTATCAAAGCCTAGTAGAGGCTCGACGCTCGTATCTCTATGATTGTAACATGGGGCAGACATTGTTAAAGACAAAAAAGCATATACTTACTCGAATTCCACCACGTGTAAACAAGACGAATAAGTATAGGAGAATGTAAAAAAAATGTTATATACCCTTGCCCTCCGCATCTATGTCAGTAATATATATATATAAGCAGGAAACAAGGATAACGCAAACCTTGCTGAAATCGGTTCAGGATTTGGGAAATCTAAGGGTGACTATTTCGTATGGAAAAGGGCTTTTTTTTGAATTATAGTGCACAAAGAGAAAGACCTGTCAATTTAGAAAAGGAAAAAGTCCTTAAATATTCTCTCCCTCTCTTAGAAATAAGAAAAGTACCCCAAAAAAACAGGATTAGCCAAGCAGATGCGATATTCAGATCAGACCATTTATTCCTCAATTTCAGAACAAGGCCGCACAATCTAACGGGAAAGTATTTCTGTTCAGTTTTGCTTAGGATCGGACATCATTTGAGTCGGACTGCATTTGTTCCCAATAGGTTCAGAGCTGCACACTCCGATTATCATAAATCGAAGCAGGAAGCTATAAGATCAAACCGTATTCTTTGATATTTAAAAACAAAAAGTCCTCATCGAAGATGCCACACAACTTTAGATGACGCTTTGCGTTCAATACACGCTTCTCCAAAGTGGCGTTTTTAGCGTATGCGACGGAGGTTCCACTGAAAACCCCTCCCCTCATGTGAACGGACGGCGAATTATCGTGGAGTCGACAATAAATATCAGTTCAACCTAACTAGTCATTTGTTCGAGAAAGAGAGCACACTTATCAAACATAAACCCCTCTCGTTTAACAACATCCGAGAAAAAAATGTAATGTTGCCTTGGCTTCTGCAGAATGCCATAAATTTTCACGAACGGAGCGTCCATGCTAAAGAGAAAGTGCATGAGGTATCATAACGTACACGTTTCCGCACCCTCATAATAAAAGGTCAACCAATCATCATCATCATGAAGATATCACTCTTGGGAAGAACGGCGAACGAGTTAAAAATGCGCGTTAAACAGCAAGAAAGGAATGATCACCAGATTGATCACCTCGTTCATCGCTTCAATGGAAACACCGGTGTAGTGCACCTTTCCAGAGGCAAATATTGTAAATGTGATCTCCTCCACGGATGCTTCGGTTTTCTTCCCGGGAAAAGGTGAGGGAGCGGTGAGAGAGCTCGCTTGCGTTGCCGCCTTCTCCATTCCTTTAAGGGTTTCATCCGACCCATCCGCTTTTTCATCCCCGGAAACTCCAGCCTCGTTGGCGTGGGAAGAAGAAAGGGCGAGGACGGAATCCATAAAAAAAACATCTACGCTTTCCAGCGGCGCGAAATCATCAGCCGTGGTGGCGGATTCCCTCCCCTTTGAAGAGAAACCGCGGAGCTGCTCGCTCAGCGTCGGATTCACCCTCTCCCGCGCGATTTCACCGCGGGAGCCCCACGTCAGCCGCACCTGAATTCCCTCCCGCCGCGTTAACGACGACGCCCGAGCGGCGCGAAGATGCGCTCGGACCTTTCGTTGCGCTTCTCGCCAATACGCCACGTCGGATTCGGAACCCAAGGCGAGGCTGACCGGGATCATCGAGCTCCCTTCCGACATATCAAGAAATTCGTTCACCCATCGCAACCCTGGCGATTCGTTTCCACGTCGGAGGTCGATGAAAACCCCACCACGGCGACGACGCCGCGGCGGGAGCCTCCCGGCCTCCCCTCCTGGCGGGGAAATCCCGCACCCCCCGCGCAGCCGTTGGAGGGGGGTGAGATCGGGGTAAAGATACGCGTTGAACACCGCGATCGCGATCTCCCCGTGTTCCCTGTGGAGGTTCCCCCCTGGGAGGGATTTTTCCACGGATGGGGGTTCCTCCAGGCGCGGCCCGACCGCCCGCATCACGCGGGCCTCCTCCCGTCGCCGTTTTTCGACCACCCCCGACGTCGCGGCGGGGTCGCCCGGGTCGATCAACACGCGGCGGATTTCCGCGCGAATCCCGTCGCTGCAGCCCCGCGCGGCGAGGGGGTCGTGGCGAGGGCAGGCCACAAGCACGCGGCC